TGGAAAGATTAATAAGACTTAGTTATTCAAAATTGGCAGCAGCGGAACAGATCTTTTGCACTAATTCTAGCTTTTTTTGTTGTTGTTTTGTTTTTATATCCCGCCCCAAAAAAAAGAAAAAAAAAAAGAAAGAAAATAGACAAAAAGTGAGAAAATAGGACTTACTTCACTAGCCAACTTCTTTTGTTCCTCTGGTCCCAGCATCCTCCGTCTCTTCAGTGGCTGACCAGCTCCGCTGTCCTCACACAGAGATGGAATAGACATCCTGGTCCAAACCCAAAACGCTTTATTACTTAACTTTGTATGACTGATGTTTTTATGCACTTTAAACATTTTTTTAAACAGCAGAATTATTTTAACAGTCTGGATTAATACATTGACTTTATTGGAAATTCAAAAGTTTTCTCTTTGAGTTCACATGTGTATGATCATCTGACAGATAATGACAATTTCATTCAAATCTCTGTAGTTTCCTTATAGGCCAAAGAAAGTGCTCTATAAGAACAATTTACTTCGATGGCGTGACTTTTACACTTGATTGAGTAGATACTCTGAAAATAACTTTCTGGCGTAATTTAAGTAAGATTATTTACCTGATCTTGAGCATGCTGTCTCTGAACTGCTGAAGGAGAGCTTTAATCCAGACAGGGTCGATGTTCCTCTTCTGCAGCTGGTTGAACAGCATGTCCACATGAGGCATGATTCTGTGGAACAGTTCCAGAAAAAAACAGAAAGCCACATCAACATGTGGCCTTTGCAACTCAAGGTGGAAATACTTTAGACCTGGTTAACTCTAACATCAAAGATGCATTCAGAGCAACACCCGCCCCCACCTCGGGTCATCAGATCACCTTTCTGTGATTTTTTTTTTTTTTAATAGGCCTAGGTGATTATAGTGTCTTTTATAACACCAACATAAAAAAAAAAAAATCTCCTACCTGACTTTGCTCTCCGGCCTGCAGCAAGTATCCCCCCATGTAAAGTTACAAGGGAAACAGATTCAAGCAGGCTATCTGACTCATAGTCCCCCCTTGTAACTTTACAATACAAACTTCACAATGTCTAACATCTCTAACACCTTTCAGGAGTACGACATAAAACATGTTTGTAAGCCAAAAATTAAAAAGGTGTGACCCTGTGTGTCGGATTTAGACAGTGGGAACCAATTATAGCAGGGACAGACAGCCCGATACAATCTGCAACAAACATTCTTGATTAAGTTCAAGCCTAGTGTCTAATCATAATCTTAAGAATGTGTATATTCCATACTGAATGTGTAGAGTAGATTGCCAATTCTGGCAATATGGAATGAAATAAAAAGCCTGATGTTGGAACAAACACTGTTTACTGAGGATAGTACAACATAGGGAAAGTCAATAAAAAACACAAATATAGATATAATTACTAAATTTGACATATAATAAAGTAATATTCCTACTGGGTGTGGCCTGTAATATGTATACGTACATTTCATTTACCATTTCATTTTTATTAAAAGAATATGGTTGACAACAGTTTTCAATGAGATGAGAACATTTAGACACCATGAAACAACTAGATATTTTGTTTAAGAAAAATGTTGAAACGAACAAGGAGCCGTTGGCTTTCAGAGAAAGGAGTGGACACTGCTGTCAGCGTCCTGTTTTGAAGCAAATGCTTGTGTTTTCTTTTTTTTTTAAATCAATATCACTGGAGATATTCTGCTATAACATGGGAAGGGAAGAATAAAAAAAGAAGAAAAAAAACACTCATCTTTCATAAACATAATATCTCAATTGACTGGGGAGTGGCTGTCTAGTGGTTAGGGCATTGCACTTGGAATTCAGAGGTTCTGAGCTCAAACCTCACTCCCACAGACTGGCACTCGAGGTCCCCGAGCAAGGCCCTTAACCCCACACTACTCCCCAGGCACGGCACAATGGCAGCCCACTGTTCCCCAAGGGGGTGGATCAAATGCAGAGGTGAATTTCTCCAATGTGAGATTAATAAAAAGTTCAATTATGACTGCAGAGAATTAATTTTGTTGCTCTGTATTTGTGACAGCGTAATAACAATAAAAGTTTGGGATAGAGAAAAGTTTCACGTTTAGTAGGTTGGAATCTAGGCGGAGTGAACTCGATCAGCTCTTTCTATGTGCGCGCTCCAGGCAAGGGGT